GAGGAGATAAGAGTCTCGATCCGAGCGGATTAAATTATACGCACGAGGCTCTCGTTTGCGACACTACTTTCCCGAGTTCGGATCGATAAAAATGTCACTGATCGAATTCCGGTGAAAATAGTATCGCACAAGAATTGTAGCGATAATCAGTGAGCATTCGCTAATTTATTAGTGGGAACATTTCCACTTAGCTCTTTTGTCTTGAACTTCGTTGTATCGGCCAGTGAAAGATTCACTGCAAATCGCTGTTATATGTTGGATAACAGAAATACAGATAGGTTGTAGCAACGTTATTTTGGCTTCAAGCGAAACTTGAAACTTGAAATCTGTCGCACCGGAACGAAAGCGACACATAAAATGCTTTTGTTTGCGCTAATCTGAAGCTAATGAAATACGCGGAAATTAAAGCACTTTAGATGCTGTTTTTCCTTTGGTGATGACAGATCCGAGGTTTTCAGTTTCGCTTAAAGTCAAATTAAGGTTTCGTGCAACCTGACCTTAGCGATACAAGAGCTTTTACGGAATAATACTCAAACAGTGAATGTCCGGCGTGTGAAACTTTTCCGCAGCAAAGTTGTAATATGTCTTTTCTAATGTTTCTGCGATCACACCGAGATTTCCCCTGATGAGAACAGTTGCTGCTGTTGACAGATTCCCTCAACGAAACTTTACCGACGTACAGTTCCATACTTGTACTTACGATCTCCGGCGGCTGTTGACCACTTTTCTACGATAATATACCGATTGCACTTTAGAGAATAATGACGAGGAAAACGGATCGGCGAGGTGGTGAGAAACGAAGTTAACACGCGAGAATTCCGCCTCGGGGGAAGGGAGAGAAAAAAAAACGAGTCGGTCGCAAATTTGCATCCTACTTTGTGTCCCACTTAGCTCGAAGGTAAAACTCCTCCCAGACGATTATGAGAAAACTCCGATGATGAAAGCCCGGCTGGACTATGAGAAAACTTTATTAGCCGCTAATAGCTCGACTTCGAGAAAACTTCATTAGCTGTTAACAGCTCGTGCTCGGTGAAGCGGCGAGGTGAGCGAGCGAGACGTCTCACGACGGAGAGAGAAACACGCGCGCGTTTCAGACGCGCTCATTTCATCCTAAGGATAGAATTGGAGGCAACTGCCGCTGCGCTCTAACGATTGTTTTGAAAATAGGTTTATGGAGGGCCGATTTCCAGCCGGCCGTCTCGGGGCCCGACGCGGGTAATGTAACCGGCGCGATTGACAGGCGAGCCGGGGAATTACCTGGTGGATATAATTGCGAGCAAACGTACGGCGTTGCGCGCGCCGGAGAGAATGGAACGGTAGATCGAAGGGAGATAACGCCGGTAGCCACGGCAACACGGAGTATCGACACCGGCGGATACTTTACCGGGACATAACTCGTTTATCAAACCATACCGCATCGAGGTACGAGCGTCGAATGCTCGCTGAATCCTCGGCCGGGCTGAAGATGGTCGCCAGGTTTCTCGACGGAGAACGACTGCGACGACCCGCAGCTCTCTCCGGGCCGTATTCAACGCCGTTCAACGTCGTTCAACGAGGCCGCCCGATTCTGAGATCCTTATTTGTCCGGCGCGAAGGTTAACGCGCCGCGTTGCTCCGTTACTAGTCGGAGACCGATCGGAGTTTGCGGCTGAACGCGGGTATATCGAACGTTCCGAGCGGAAGCGCAGCCCCGGTCGGTCTGAAAACTAGTAGCCAGCCGGTGTTAAATGGGATTAAACAGGCTGGCCGAAAGGGTGAACAGAGAAAACGCGCCGGGATCGTCGCGAGCGATGCGCGGCCACCAGGATGTTCGCAACTCCCTCGCCGACCTTACGTAACCCACCTCGGGGCCCCGCGGCGTACCTAACACACCGGCTATCTCGCGGCATTAGTGCTTCACTTACTTAACGTTACGTATCGCGCGGCGAGAGCGAGGCCGCGCGCGCTAAACAACTCGCACGTACAGCGGCGATTAATAATGCCGTTTACGGTACGTGATATCGCGCGAGCGAGCGCAGAGGCGTCTCTCCACCCCCGACGCGTGTTCCCCTTTAAAAAGCCGCGCATTTTACATCTCCGGGCCGGAATTGATCGCGAACGCTCCGTCTCGAATTTCCTCCCCGACCGGCGGAACTCGTCCCGCGAGGATGACGCGGCAAGACCGGATCGAGTTGGACCCGGCCATTATTTTCGCCACATTGAGAAACATATATTTGATATTCATAACTGTAATCGTCGTAAAGATTTTCTCCCGGTGTCCTTCCGGGTATTAGAGTTCGATGTTAATTAACGCCCGGGAGGTTATGCAGATTTCCGTTACTCCCCGTTTGCCGAATCGTCCCTTCGCTCGGCGGAGATTCTTATTCTTCTCTCGATTCGAACCCGCCTTTTGAATTACGGCTCGACCCCGTTTCTCGGACTTTTCCGATGTTACGTCGCCGCCTCCGAGCGGGCACTCCCATGCGATATTCGGTGGAGCCGCGCGCGCGCGTCATCTTCGGGCGATCGTAAATCATAACGCGAGTCCGCACTGCCGGTGTTCGTATAAATATCGCGCATTAATTCAGCATTAAAGCTTAAATTATCGAGTCACGCGGAGCCGACGCGACGCCTACAGAAGAGATGGACCGCCTTAGGGAAGCCCGGAGAGTTCCTCGCCCGTAGAAAGTCGCGGTATAAACCATCTCGGAAATTCGGGGATCCACCTTCCTCGCGGGGATGAGAAGTGTCGGGAAGAATGTGCGTACATTTACGTAGCTTCACGTTTCCTTTCTCTCTCTTTCTCCCTCTCTCCTCCTTCTCATCGATATAATCGACTCGGAGCTAAATCACAGCGTACAATTGAAACGTGTTCGATGATTATTTCTTCTTTCACGATTCTTCCCAACGCACTACGCATTATCTTACGGCGAAAGAGTTACACTGAGAAAGAAATGTATGATATTTGGAAGTATAACGGCATAACGAAAAAATTACAATCAAGAAAACTAAGAATATAAATCTAGCAAATGTTATAATAATATATTCTCAGTATACTCGCGCCGCAAAACGTCCGATCCCTTCGTCGAAAGCGACTCACCGTTTGATTGGAGACCGCAAATCACGGATCGCGTATTGGACGCGCCTCGAGGGGAGATAAATCTGCGGAAATGGACTTTTCGACGGAGAAACGACTTTAATTGGCGCGCGCGGTTCTCCGCGGAAGACGCGGAGGGACGCGCCGTCGCGGAACGCGCTAATTGATCGAAACAATCGCCGAGACGTAATTAATGTCCCATCGACGACACATATCGGGCGTAGTGTATGATGCTCGGCGCAATCGCGCGACTCAACCGGAGAGTTCGATAAAATATCGTTTCGCGAAACGTTTCCCGGTGAATCCGACGCGTCCGACGAATCCACGGAAGGAGAGCCGCATCGACGTTGCTCGGCCGACGTGGATCTCTCCGCGTCAATTATACTTTCCGGCGTGAACGCCGCGAGAGAGATTCAAGATAATTCACTTTGCAGAGTAATACCGAATTAGAGTATCGTGTCCGAGTGAAAATTTGGATGCTACTCTGACGCTCTTAAGAATAATTCACGCCTACTTAGACTGCCTATGGACTAATAAAAACCTGCTTTGACGATATCGATGCTTCTTAACTTCTCTTTGGAATTTCTTGTCTTCTCTTTTTCATTCTTAAACAGATTGAATTTCAACGGTAAAACAGCGAAAACGGAAATCTAAGACATCGTTAGGACTGAAATAGGGGGTCATATTATATTATTAGAATTGAAATCGAATCTATTTTACTATCTTAGCTCCTACTCCACGTAGAATTGAAGGTTTAACATAGGGCGAAAATTTCGACTCGGAACAGGCGGGATTAAAATATCGGCGTGTCGGTGCTACTCGCTCGCGTCGCGGTGAGAGGGAGCCCGATCGTCCGTAAATAACGCCGTCCCGGCGCCAAGGATTATTTACATTTCATGCAAATGAAATGCGCGCGTGATTTCATTAATATGTTAATGCCCGGTGAAAGAACTATCTTCATTCGCGGCTCGCGGTGATAAATATTATATCGAAGCGTGCGCGCGCGTGTAAAGCGCGTTACGTCCGTTATTTATCACTCGATGTGCCTTGTTTATCAGAAAGCGGAGGCGACGGATGATTGTATCGAACACCCCCGTTCGTGCGTTCCTCCGCAAATTTCAGACTGATTTATCCCGTCGTCGAGCGCGCCGCCGCCACGTCGACATCCGTCCCGTTCGTCCGAATCCTCATAATGAAATCGTCAAGCGCGAATGAGATTCACCCCGGCTCGCGCATCTCCTTCCAGCCCTGAGTCGCGGAAATTTCATTTTTCGCGCCGGGTAATTCCGCGATGAAATTAATTACTCCGGCAGATATTCGCTAATGGAAGATTCGCGTAAAAGTCCGGCTGTCACTCTGTTTCTCTCTCTCCCTCTCTCTCTTTCTGATCGGAGGGGACCGTCGTCCGGCGAGAATTCCCGCCGGAATTCCGAGCAGGCGCGAACGAAATTTTCTTCCATTTGCATACGATCGCGATCGAGCGGCACGTGCGGCGCGCGATTCCCTTTAATTGGGAGTGGATCGCACTGCCCTACAGTTACGGGGACGACGAGGAGAGAGAGAGAGAGAGAGAGAGAGAAAGCGACCGGAGGAACCTCCGTCTGGGCGTGGACGTCGATGATCTCTCGGATGTATTTCATCGTCCACTCTCCCGGTGTGGGTGTCAACGCTCCCGTCAAACGTTTCGCCCTCGCAGCGTCTCCGCGGAGAGAGAACGGACCCTGGTGTTTACCTTCGGCCGAACGTTATAATTAGATGCGATCCGTGGCTCGTAAATATAATTTCGTGTTGCGTAGAAACGACGCGTTATTTATGGCCGAAGTGTTCTTACCGAAGATACCGCTACTTGTGAAGCACGAAGGGAGCGCGACGCGTCCGCTGGTCCGCGCGTGCGTCCGGCGCTCTCGGTGTCGCCCGTCGGACTCCGAGCACGCAAATAACGAGAAGATGACGAAAAGGACTTGTAGAGGTATTATTATTTTAATAAAATCACCAGGTCGTTGATCGCCCAGTTTTTCAGAATTTTAATACGTAAGCTACGTCATTTCGGATAAATGTTTAAGTATATGGCAGCTAACCTTTAAAGATTCACGGCAAATATTGTACATTGTATTATGTATTGTACAGAGAAGAAGGTTTCCTTGGATTTAGCATACGTGTTCGTTTGATTCGGGTTTGCTCAACATAAACAACTGTTTAACGTAAACAAAAGTTTAATATCAAATATCTTATTGTTGTGTTAATCATAACCTCTCTAATAATATTATCACAAGCCAATCACTTTTTAATCTCAGTTTTCATTCTCTCTCTCTCTCTCTCTCTCTCGATGATTGAAAATAACGGTTTACCGTAGCAACCGTAAGTAACGTGATTCACGTACACCTGCTTTTTCGAATGGCGTAATTCTTCATTTCCGGGATCACGAATCCGGCCCGGATACGCGATGAAACAATACAACGCGACCACGCGCGTTTCCTTGCCGCTTCTTCGCGGTCGACAGACGATCGGGCGTGAATTTCATTGCGGGCGCTATGCATTTACATATGCAAATGCAACTATCTGTTATCCTCCACCCGTTCTCTCTCTCTCTTTCTCTTTATATACATGTATGTATATATCTTTCCCGCTTTCTCTTTCTCCCAGTCTCCGGATGCAAACCCCCTACGTCCCACGCTACAAGAGCGACTCTCTCGCGCTGATGAATAATAATGGCTAATAATTTAACGTCCGATCGATCAACGCCCTGCCCTGCGGAGCGGCACCTGCGGCAAACGCAAGTTGCGACCGAGTCGATCGTGCGACTGCACGATCGATTCCTTTTGGAATTCCGCGGTGAAGGATGATCTCCGCGGCGGCGGACTTCTTGCCGCCACCGCGACATCGCGAGCGAGCGGACCGATCGATCGATCGACCGGCGCAAAAAGGGAGGAGGACGGTCGTGTGCGCGCCGCATCGATCGTTTGTTATTATTACAGGGTATCTCGTATCGCCCGCAGCTCCGTTCTATCGGCGAGCGAAACGCGGCGCATCGCGCCGTTACCGCCGTTGAAATTTCGCGAGCCGCCTCGCATTTTTAAGCGTGCTCGCTTGCGATTAACTTGCAACTTGTTACAATCGCAACAATGACGAACATCAAATGATTACGCGCTTCCCTCCCCTCTTTCTCTCTTTCTCCCTCCCTCTCTCTCTCTCTCTCTCTCTCTCACTCTTTCCTCGACGCGATCTCTCGGGAAGATAATTACAATAATGTCAGATATTGACATTAAAATATGATAATGATTGTCGACAAGTTTTAATTATCGCGTTAACGTCCAATACATCACACTCGGCGGAGCGCTGGCCGTGAATCGACGACGGGATGCGTGGAAAACAATTTGCATGACGTTCGGCCTCTCGCTCGCTCGCGGGACGTTTCGCGCATCTCGAGGTTCCTCCGCGATTCTTCCGCGCGCGCATTAACTCTATCGCACGATAATTAAGTTAATTACCGGCGCGCTAACGCAGCGGCTCTCGCGAGCCAGCCGGACAGGCGTTAAACCTCCGTCGACGCGCGCTTTACATCCGCGACTCGCCCGCGGAGCACCAGCTGCGGAACACGACAGCCGATGATGGATACCGTCGTGTCCCTAATCGAACTCTCTCGCCGGCTCTCTCGATCGTACACGCCGATCGTGTGCGCGCCACGGCCGTTAAATCGCGTCGCGATTAATGAAGAAGAACCGTTGGGACCGTTTAGCCAACTTGAGCGACGCGACGGCCATTCGCGAGACCGCGAACGAGCCGGAGTATCTCGTGTAGTCAATGATATTCCTACTTCGAGTAAATACCTCTCAAAAAGTACTCGGGTAAACGTTTTACGCGGATCAAGTCAACATTACTCGAGCGGTAATACTTTTTTCTTCAATGTTCACCTTGAAACATGCATTCGCGAGGTGCGGCTGGGAGATTCGTCCGGCGGCCCATCGTTCTCTCGAGGGATAAATTATTACTATCGTTATCACTGACTTGAATTCTCAATTGAATGATCGGAAAAGGCATTTCCCAGACCACGCTCGGGAGATTCCCCATGGTGGAAATATTCTCACGGCAAGCGTCGTTTCCGCGGACGTGTCGGAGTTCCGTAACGCGGCCAGCCTCGTGGAGTACGGTATGATAGATACCAGTTGCTTATCGCGGATGGGGTTCGCGCTGACCGGCGTTCCGCGAATGCGCAGCTAAATCAGAAAGACGTCTGTCTCGTTACCGGAAACGAGAGACGAGAGAGAGAGAGACGGGGACGACGCGACCGATCGCCGCTTACATCGACGCGCCGTTTCGCCTTTACGGCGCGTAAATCGCTTCCAGAAGTCGCGATGTCGCTCGCCTAATGCGCGAGCCGGATAATGCGCGAAATCAATATAAATCACTCGCGGCCGGGACGCGAGTATGACGTTTACACTGTCGCGTCCGACTTGAATTTATCGCACGTCGCTCGGCGCATCGCGTAGCGTCGCGCGTTTCGCCGTGATGTATTGCGAGGACACTGCTTGGCCGGGCATCTGTCGTGCGTGGATGTGCGTGGTTTCACCGGGGGACCGCGCAAAAATTGTCCGTGAGCGAGCGAGGAACCTTCCCTTCTCTCCGTTGCGCAAGACGGGTTCGCTATTATTTTTCGACACTCAATGTATCTCCCTAAATAAGCTTGGAAACGAGCAACAACTTTTTCACTCGCTTCCGCTACGTGGAAATCGACAGGTAGGTCATACATGATTTAAGGAATATGTTCGATTTTTCTCGCTGCGTTGATCGCAATTTTGAATTTTGGAAACCTCCGTCCCACTGTGCGTCGTCGTCTCCTCGTCCCGATCGAACGATTGAGACGTCGAAAAAAGCAACTTAAATCAACGGAGACGTTCCGCCATAAATATCTCCGGGCGTAGGAAAGCCCCGAGCCGACGAAATCTCCGCTGATTCAGTCATGTCGCGGGGCTCGTCTTCGACCTCCGCGCGCGCGCGCGCGCCTCACGAAGCGCGCCGATATTTCCACGAGTTCGATTTATGCACGGAGCGCGCGAATCGATGATCATTATTAACCGGCCGGTCGATCCCGAAAGTCGCGTACATTCGCGAGCCTGCTCTCGAAGAGAGCACGGCCGATCCACCATCCGCCGCGATTGGCGAGTAACGAATCTCTATTGATCATCCTGGACGGCGACTATCGGCCCGACTTAATTAATCGATCGGGTATTAATCGGCGCGATTATGTTGCCAGAGCCCTGCGCCGTAAAGTGCAATTATGCCAGCTCAATGTGCCAGCACCGAGAACTAATGGGGATTCCATAAGCGATTTTTGAGGGAGTGGTCTCTTTCTCTCTCTCTCTCTCTCTCTCGTTCGCTCACTCGTTCGCTATCTTCCTGATGGATCGCGATAAAATTCACGCGGATTTCTAGTCCGGAGTGGTCTCCTTAATGAAATTCAGTGGCTCGTGGCCACGTCGTCACCGTTTAAACTAGTTTCTCCAGTGAGGAACATTAATCGCGAATATGCGCTTCGTTCCCCAGATAGACAGATAATAGCGTTTCATTAACCATTTTAAAGCAAGTCTTCCAAAAATGCATTTACGATCAAGATCTTTATCGCTGAAAAAAAAAGAGAGTTATGTTCAAGCAAATATCTACCAAGAATGCATTTGCGTTAAGATCCTTTATATTGAAGAAAGCGTTATAGTTCGTATATAAATATCGCTAGCATTTTTCTCCCACTCCACTACATTCAAGTAATATTTATTTAATTCAAGTAAAATAATTACTCCAATGCTCCTCGGAAAGTATTTACTTGAACGCAATTTAAATAGCATTCTTTTCTTCCGGCGTAGAAGTGATAAGGTATTAATATTTAACGGTGGGTTGTTATATTTAATGACAAATAATTTGTATGTAACAAATTATAATGATAAATAGTTCGCGGTAATTGGTGATACGCATAGAAATGACAAGCAATTTACGAGTGGTTTTACGAGTCAAGTTTACGTCCCATCTTGCAGGATATACGACGTCTTTTCTGACCTTTCTATATCTGTTGCAATAAGAGAATCTTTGTGCTCATACAATAGTTATTAGCTTAGCGTAGAATAGTAAGTAACTGTGTGTACAGGTGTGTAGGTTGTGTGTAGGTTAGTCTGGAATTTTGGAGGACTCTTTTTAACAAAGAGGAACTTATTACTGGCCTATAAGAGCCTAAGCACGGATGTACCAGTGCTATTTTGAATATTAATACAATTAGGGATTTAGTATTAATACAACCGGCAAGTTTCTCGATATCGGGATATCGACGTCATATAAAAAGAATCCCTCGAAACTCTCTCTCTCTCTCTCTCTCGACTTCTCAAACAGAACTCGTCTGTCAATAACGGAACGCCAGCCGTCGTAATTTAGCGGGCATCACAGCGCGGTGGCATTTGCGAGTCAGCTGGCGGTATATTAACTTCGATTATCCGACGCTGCTTTCTTTCGCGCACCGAGATGAATAATCGGCCGTACTTTACCGTACGAGGCGATAATCGCAACAACAACAACACACACACCGTCGCCTATTACGTCTCGGACGATAACGGACACGTACGTGTACACGTGCGTTCGTGTGGACGGAGGGGAGGAGGGGGGCAAGAAAAAAAAGCCGTATGCGCGCGCGTGCGCGCACACGTAGCGACGATAAATTTACATAGCGATGTAATCGGCGAGGAACAAGTAACCGAACAAGAAGATTCTCTATCTGCACGGTAGAGGCGGTAAGGAAACACCTCGTTGGTTAAAACGATACGCGCTCGGCTAACGAGCCGTGGAAGCAGCGGGCGATGCAGATATGATTGCGCTTCGTCGATATAGATATAACTCCCGGCGGGGGGGGNGGGGGGGAAGGAGAGGGGGCGATAATTGCGGCGAATCCGACAATGTGTTTCGCGCGGGGTTAACAGTCAATTAAAGGCCCGC